TTTTTTTTTTTTGCTAGCTGCTACGTTGAAAAAACCAAGGTGTCTAAAGCTGTTATGTGCAGCGGTAGGTTTAGGGTTGGGTTAGCGCTCCTCTGTGACTCATGTAGCGTAGCATGGTTAACATGGGAGCTGGTTTATATCCAGTAAATAGTCTCTTTGTTGCAGAAAATGAAAACAGCTAGCTAACGTTTATGTGCTGCTTCCTCGTTTTTCAAACCTCTTCTTGAGACTTCAAGCATCCAGATTGAACCAAAGGTAAGAGCTGCCTGCTTTAATGTCTTCAAAGCCCTTTAAAGAAAAATCTCTTCATTCACTAATGACAACAGTTCATTGTTCTTTCCACAAGTCTTTTTTTTTGTGCTTTTTGTTTACTTTAACTTTATCTCTGATGACAAACCTAAAGAGCCTTGCTTTAGTGGCTCGTATGTCATCCACTATTTGATCACATTCTGGTTTATGTAATAAAGTTAGCGAAAACAAACATTATAAAGTGAATGGCAGTCATATCTTTCAGTTAACAAGAATTTACGACCCAGATATGTTCAATGATTTAATTATATTAAATAAAAGAGGGGCTTTAAACGTTTGAAATGCCTGCAGAAACTTTTAAGTTTGTTTAAAAAAAAAAGGGATTGTAGCAAAACTGTTCATAACTCTCCCAACAGGTTTGCTTTTCAACCCTGTTTTGTTTTTATTTTTAGGATGAAGTTAAATAAAACATATGGTAGTTTCTATAGGAAAAACAGATGGATTACATGTTTTTCAAATGTCCAAATCTTCAATTCAAAAACAGTTTATTCATCCCAAAGGGAAGCTAAATGTTGCAGGATGTGTTATTTTTGTAATCAGGTGTTGATAGCTGCATACAGGCAGGATCTTCTGTAGCTGTCTGCTTTACAGTGTGTTGTGCATGTTTGTTCAGTCACCTTAAATGTTTACTACACCCACCTTTCAGGGTTATTTACAGCTGCAAATCTTGCAAAATTGGGTTTCTACAGGGCTGATTTTTCTTCATATTTCTCACACTTTGTCAAATTGGATTTAGACTTTCTGTGGGCATAAATGTTCAAGACCATCGATTAGTGATTAGATTTAGGACTGGACTTTGATTGGATCACTCTGACACATGAGCATGCTCTGATCTAAAGCCTGGCTGTGTGTTTAGGGTGTTTGACCTGTTGGAAGGTAAACCTCTGCCCCGGTGTCTTTTATAGCCTCTGATATGTTTATGTTCAGGGTCATCCTGTGTTTTGCTCATCCATTCACTCTGACAAGCTTCTCTGCCATGATCAGAATAAAAAAACATCCCTGCAGCTCTGTGCATCTGGTACAGGGCCTGCCACAAATTTTAATTCAATTTAGTTTATTTATATAGCGCCAATTCACAACACGTCATCTCAAGGCACTTTACAATTTAGTCATATTGGTTCAAAGTTTTCTATCTAAGGAAAACCAGTTGATTACATCGACTTATTGACTCAGATGTAATCCCTCACACTAAGGATGCTTGTAGCGACAGTGAAGAGGAAAAACTCCCTTTTAACAGGAAAAAATCTCCAGCAGAACCAGGCTCAGTGTGAGCGGCCATCTGCCGAGGCCGACTGGGGTTCAAGGAGACAGAAGCAGAGATACAATTTTAGATTTTTATATATATATATATATATCTCACATGGAGACCCAATAAAATTCATTAAGGTTTGTGGTTGCAAAACAGTATTTTTTCGTGCTGTATTTAGCAGACTGTGTTATTTTTATGCATCTGAACATATACACTGAATTTACTTGCATTTTTATTGGATTTTAATTGTGTTGCAGGCAGGCTCAAAGGAGTTATAAATTCATGGTCACTCCAGAAGATGGATTAACCATCAAACCCCCTTTTTAAGCTGCTCCTATCATCCCTTATTCCCTGCCCACAGTCTATTGAGCAGGCAAGATGCAGGGTAACAGACCCCCAACCAAACAGTCGCTCAGGGACCTGTTTTCGCCGTTCCGCAACCGGCAGGAGCGGGTGGTGCTGGCCCGGAGCGAGAGCCTGCCGGGGGAGCAGGTGCTGAAGATAACGGTGACGGAAACCACCATGATTGAGACGGAGTCCGGCGTGTGGAACTGGCGCTCTATGTCCTACCTGGGTCTCTGGTACTTCTTCAGCTTCTGCACCCTGTTTCTCAACAAGTATATCCTGTCTCTGCTGGAGGGAGAGCCAAGCATGTTGGGTAGGAATGCTGCTTTTCCCATCTAACGTTTTAAACAGTTCAGAAATAGAAATGAGAAAAAGTATTTGAATAATAAAAAAAAAAAAAAGTATTTAAATAACTTGGCCATTTCCTCAGATTTTATTCTTTCTTTCTTTTTTTTATCTCAGATTTTATATTTTCCATATCGTCTTTTTGGAAAAACTCAATTGTTACCGTTTTTTAATTTTTAATTTTGTTTTATTTTTGACAGATTAAATTAAAAAGAAAAAATATAAAATGATATATATAAATGATTTGACAAAAAAAGGTTTGAAAAAAATACAATTTGACAAAAAAAACAAAAAACAAAACATGAATAATTCTTCTGAAAGAAAAAAAAACCACAGAGACCAAAGTTATTCTCAAAACCTTTTCTTGAAGTTTAACTTCCAGATGGCACTTTTTTT